ACCATGGTTTGCGGGGGCTGTTGAGCTTTGATCACTAGGGCTCCCGTATCTCCCACCCCCCGCCGAGAGATGGGCGGGACAATCGCGGGTGGCGCTTGAGGCGGTTGCTGGCTCGTCACTTCCGTCGGGTTCAATGGAGGGACAGTGGCTCTCTACGACTGGTCTTGTAGGAGTGCCATCATTGCTGCCAACTAAGTCTCTAAAGCGCTGAATTGACTCTGCGTCACGTACTGCGGGGACGACGGCGGCTCACGTCCCCTTGCAACTGACTTCGACTCCGTCGTATTTGCAACTAGGCAAGTATCACTCCTTGTTCATCTTCTTGACATGGCTTTTTAGTTCAAATAGTTTCCCACAGATGGTGCCAATGAGATGGTGGTGGATCAACACCCTCCTGTTTGCCTGGTAGTGCTCGGCGTTTCGTCTACTCCGTCAAGTATATATGACCTGAAGAATGAAGGCGGGGCTTCCTCCCCCGTTTTACCTCCAGTGTGAGAATTAGTTTATAGGCTTGGAAAAATGTGATTGGAATTCTAATGGTGAAAAAGAGAGATAGAGAGAGAGAACCGTCTACCTGTGTCGCGTCCGGAGGTATTTATAGACATTAGGGACCGGATAACCACTGGGCGGATGTGTTGCCACGTGTCCCACGTTGGCGTTCCCATTATGCCCACGTTCTAAGTGGGAGGTCTCTAGTTTCCGGCCTGAAAATTGTTTCCGTATTAGCGGCCATGGAACCTAGTTAATTCACTAGGAGTTTTATGGCCAAGTGTTTGGATAGGCAGTCCCATGCCAGTTGTAGACCTCGCGTAGGGTGAAGTTCCCCTAGGGGGTCGACATCCTCGCATAGTGGTAGAGCGCCCCTAGGGGGGTCGACGACCTCGCGTAGTGGTAGAGCACCCCCTGGAGGTAGTGGTATAGCGCCCCTAGGGGGTCGACGACCTCACGTCGAAGTGCTGTGATTCATCTTGCTTGCCGTCGAAGGTGGTTTCCTCTACCAACCTATATCACTTTTCACGTACCTTACTAATAACAATTCAATCTATAAGGGTTATGGCTACAAGTTGTGCCTAGAATATATCTATAGCATATAGTTTAAGATAAGCGCGTTTTTACACAATTATTCGATCCACAAAACATGACTAATTATTGATAAAATTGGTTGATTATGACTTAATTTTATGCAATTTCATGTTATAGAGCCATATTGATGGATATGATGGAACTCAAGAGAAAAGATGAAAAAAAAGGCAAAAACGAAAGAAAATGAAAGTTCAGGGACCAAGTTGCAAATAATCATAGATGAGACGGGCGATGGAATGAAGATTCAAGAGTGTTAGAGGTCAATCGGATGAGGAAAGAAGTCAAAGAGATGAATTATGGTCGAAGTATTATCACATATCAACTTTCAGACAAAAAAGCTATGCTCGAGATTTTTAGTTTCTACTTGAGACTCATTTTTGGCATAGTAAACATTAGAATTTGAGAAAGCCTACTTTTATCAAAATTGTATATCTTTGAATTAGCTTTCCAATGCACTTTGAATCACTACAATCAAAGATCGGGAGAGAAAGTTATGAGAAAAATACTGATAGTTGTCTGGCGAAAAAAGTGTTTGAACTATGCGGTCACATAGTAGTATTCAGAGACTTCAATTGGGCATTTTGGCATAACTATGTGGTCACATAGCCCAAAATCTGGGACCGATTCTGTAGTTTCCTATTTTCGATATAATTCCTTTGGAACTCAATTGGGATGCGATATAAAAAACTAGAGTCATCATATTTCTGGAGGGAACGCATTGGAGGACAACAAAACACATCTTGGAGACGAATTTGAGGGAGATTAACGTAGGATTTCACGCGTATCTATAATCTGGTGACGAATTTGAGGGAGATTAACGGAGGATTTCACGCGTATCTATAATCTGGTGATGTTTTATCTTCAAGAATTCATGTATTCCTTTATGTTTTCCATGCTAGGCTAGAAATTCTTGTGCTAGGGGATCGATGGATCTTGTAATGTGATTCTTAATTCCTTGCTTCATATTTTTGACATTAAAACACGTTTGATTATTTTGAATGATTTATATGCATTTAATTTCTTCCGCAAGTAAGGGCCCGTAATTGTGCGAGTTTTGGTGACTTATTTCTTGCATTCAAGAGAAGGAAAATAGGTTTGACCAGGTATAAATCATCGTAGAGTCCGATAGAGGATAGAGATATACCGCTATACTCTGCATGAATCTTTAAGTGCTTACAAAACTACATGCATTCTTGCATATTTGCACCCGTCATAGAAATATAGGCTGATGATAAATGAGAGTGGATTCAACTTTATTCGAAAGAGACTGTTAGATAGATTCAAGAACATTGATTCATCATAATTTCAACGTGTTGTCAAAATTATAGAACTAGAGTTAAATTGAGCATTGCTTGGGGATTCGTAATTTTAGTGCGTTATACATTCATTTAGGGTTGGTCAAATCTCTCGAACTGAACCGAACTCGACACGAATCGAACCGAAACCGACGGTTCTTGTCAAATTAAATATCCAAACGGATATCTAAATTGAGAACCGACGGGTACGGTTCGGTTCTCGGTTCTAGACCAAGAACCGAATAACCGAATAAGAACCGAATCTTTCTAATTTTTTTTATTGAGTAAATCAAATTATTTTAATTTTAATTTTTTCTAAACAAATTAACAAATTAATGATTTCTAAATCCAAATTTTTAGCCCAATAATTTGTTTCATTTCTAATTTTTTAATTTTTGGCCCAATTACCATTTTATTGTTTCATTTCTTAGCCAAACAAGATCAAATCCACTAAATATCCCAAAACACCTACACTAAAGTGCATAACGTTGTCTCGACTCTCGCACTCACTCTCGCAGCCTCGCTAATATTACAAAACATATACAATCGTCGGCCGACACTGTGACCTCCGATCGAAGTTGTGACCTCTGCCGATCGAAGTTTTGATCATAGCGATCATTTAAACAAGATAGTTTATTAGTCTCTGACATTCCAAAACCATTAAATGTATCATTAGTTGTATTTATATAATATTGTTATAAATATTAAAAAATTTAATTATAGTACAAAACTGAACGGAATTGAACCGAACGGAACCGAACCCGAACGGTTCCATAATTATATTTGGACCCGACGGTTCCCCGAACCAACCCGCGCCCACCCCTACATTCATTGAATCATTAATTTGTCTTTCAAACATTCAATTTGCATCTTTAGTTCATCTAAGCGTCAATTTGCATTTTAATTCATTCAAGTCATACACATTTGCGTACCTAGTTTAGGTTAGGGTTTAGTTAAGCTAAAAAAATCACTTTTGACATTCTTGTTTCGGTTAAGGTCATAATAAATAAAATTAGGCTACTCAATCTCTGTAGGACGATATTTGAAACTCTAAATTCCACTTTATTACTTTTTAACGAACCGTACACTTGCGGTGAATTAAATCGAAAGAAAATATTTCGTGAACAAGTTTTTAGCGCCATTGCCAAGGATTGAGCATTAGTTTGGTTTTATTTTTTCTAGGTACTAATTCGAACTTTAATTTTTAAATTTTTCTTATTTTCCATATTTTTAGTTTATTTTATATTATTGTGTTTAGTTATTCAATTTGTTTGAATTTGAGTACTACTACTAGTTTACTTGTAGAGTTGCATGTCAAGATTGACTGGAGGAGAATTAATTCAAACAAATCTGGGAATTGAGCAGACCTTTCATCGATTGCAACAAGAGAATAGAGAGGCACTTCAACAACAACTAGAACCAATGGCTAATATGCAGAACAATCCAATTTTTCAAGCTAATGAAGAAGGGGCGGCAGACGAAGGAGATATGCAAATAGGAGATTTCCTTATCCCTCAGATAATCCAAAGTCAATCCAGCTTAGTCAACCCACCATTTGGACAAACCAACTTCCAGCTGAAAACTAAAATGATACAACTATTTCAGAATGGGCATTTGTTTTACGGTAGAGCTGAGGAGAACCCACATGCTCACGTCTCTCGGTTCTTGGAGATGTGCCAACACTTCAGGTATCAGGGTATCTTAGATGCCGCAATCAAATTGAGGATGTTTCCACATACTACGGGATAAGGCAGTTGAATGGCTTAACTCCCAACCGATCGCCAGCATTACTGCATGGAATGATTTAGCACAGAAATTCAGCACCAAGTTCTTCCCGTCTGCCAAGATTGCAAAGCTCAAGCATGACATATCCATCTTCCGTCAAGGAGAATCTGAGTCTTTTGATGAAGCCTGGAATAGATTTAAAAATATGCTGCGGAAGTGTCCACGTCATGGGATCAACAAGGGACTCCAGGCCCAGTACTTCTATGCAGGAATACTTCCGGATTTCAAAAGCATGGTTGACTCTTCATCTAACGAGTCATTGGCTACTAAAACCATTGATGAGGCACACAAGTTATTTGAGACTATGGCTACTACATCTGCTATGTAGACATCAGAACAGGCTGTTCAGAAGAGGACACCAAGAGTTTATGAGGTAGATACATATTCAGCCTTATCAGCCAAGATTGACTCTTTGTTTCACTAGGTGGAAAGCATATCACAGTTAGCGAATGCAACATATCCACGGAAACCAAATTGTGAAGAATGTGGAGCGAATCATAAAACGGCGGAATGCCCAATTCTATCACTGGGAATAGAACAAGTAGAGTATGCACAATGGGGTCAACATCAACATAACTATCGAAATTCAGACACTTATAATCCTAGTTGGAAAGAACATTCAAATCTCTCATTGGGTGGTACCTAAAGTCAATATAGATCCCAGGGACAACAGGAGAAGACACTTCAGTTGGAAGAGATGTTTGCAAAGTTCATGGAAATACTGAAAAGTACATGGAAGCAAATAACCAGTTCATAAGGAAAACTGAAACTACTCTCCAAAATCAGGGTGCTGCAATTAAGAACCTGGAGATGCAGTTGGGATAGATAGCACTTTCTATGACAAGAAGGGCACCAAATACTTTACCCAGCAATATTGAGTTAAATCCTAGGGAGCATGTTCTAGCGATCACAACTCGAACTGGGATACAACTACCTGAAAGACACATTGAGAGGTCGGGTGTAAACAATGAGACAGCACCCTCTACAGAAAAAGAGATTGAACAGCAAGACGAGCAGACAAGTGAATCCACACTAAAGGAGAGTTCAAAGACATCATGGGATAAGGCAACCATTCAGTTAACCCTTATGAGCCACCCATTCCATTTTTCCAGAGGTTGAGGAAGCACAAGAAGGAGCAGCAATATAAGAAATTTCTTGAAATCTTCGAAAAGCTCTACATCAACATCCCATTCGCCGATGCACTACTCCAGATGCCCAGCTATGCCAAGTTCCTAAAGGACATCTTAACAAATAAATGTAAGCTAGAGGAACATGAAATGGTGATATTAATCGAAGAGTGCAGCGCCAGGATCCAGAAAAAGCTCCCACCGAAATTGAAAGATACAGGGAGTTTCACTGTCCATTGCAGAATTGGTGATTTTTATTTTAATTCAGCATTGTGTGATCTAGGTGCGAGTATTAACTTGATGCCACTCTCTGTTTTCAGAAAACTAGGATTGGGAGAGCTTAAGGCAACCACAGTAACTCTACAGCCGGCTGATAGATCACCTACACATCCACGAGGAATTATTGAAGATGTATTGGTCAAAGTGGATAAACTCATATTCTCAGCAGACTTCTTGATTTTGGATATGGAAGAAGACAATGACGCGTCTATCATATTGAGACGACCATTTTTGGCTACTACAAGAGCCCTCATAAATGTGCAGCAAGGACAATTAATTTTGAGGCTGGGGGAGGAAAAAGTCTCTTTTAATGGTTTCAAGGTAATGAAATACCCCAACGAGCCTGAAAGATGTTTCCATATTGAAGTGGTTGACAGAGGAATCCCCTATAATTTTGAATTGAAGAAATAGCCAAACATTCATGAGGCTTGTATAGTACACTCTCTATTCGCTCTTATCGATTCAAAGGAGATTAAGGCATTCAATGTGGGATTTCACGCGGATGAGAGAGAAAGTCAAACCACCTGTAGAAAGACAGGGATGAAATTCGGAGGATAACTGCAATGCAGAACAAGACCATATTGAGCAAACTACGCAGGACCTCCCAAGCCATATTTAAAGTGCCATAAGACACATGTGCCAAAAGTCGAGCTGTCAACTATAAAATAGCCCTGGTTTGGAGGCAACCCACGTTTCTACCCTTTATTTATTTCGTTTTGCATTAGTTTAGGAGTTTTTCAATTTTTCAACATTTTTTATAGTTTAGGTCATCGTTCGTCAATGCATGTCAATAAATAGCCCAAGCACAATCCACACGAATCCCAATGCATTAAGCACGAGTCATAAGGTTGTAATCCTGTTTTAGTCAGTCATGGGATCAAATTGAACAAAGTGCATGTTTAGAGCTAAGTTTCGTTGGTGATTCACATTTTTGTGATATAAACTTTATATTGAGACATAATTTATGTATATTGCACCTTGAAATAAGTTTGGGGGAATGGTGCGTCACATGGATTCCTTCATGCATACCCAAGTTTATCAATTATTACCATGAGATATAATACACATACTTTGCACTTTTGTAGGATGTCATCGAAAAGACCTCAATAGGAAAAGAGAAGGTCGGCTTAACATATGGCATTGTAGGTCCCGATTTTTTACTACCTCTATACTGATCAGGGGAATAATAGTTATTCCATTTCTTGTGCTTTCAGTTTATTTTGTCCCTCAATTATACGTATTTAAACTTCTACTTTATTTCAGCAATGATGTCAAGGTTATGTATAAGTTTTGGGGAGAGGTGGCATAATTTAATATAAATGTGGCATCTAGATTTTGGCATCCATTTTTCGTGTTTTATTCGTATTCCATCAATACATTTACTTAATTGGTGCATTTTGTGTGCTTATTGAGTGTTATAAAAAATAATAATAATCTGCATAGGTTCTTCATTTTACTGTATTTCTTGTTTTGTGTGCTTGTGTGGACTTCATAACCTTGCCGACTATGATGAGATTATTGGATATGATATTATAAACTTTGATATGGTGCAGAAGTTGATTAACCGGAATTTGTTGATTTGGTACTTGACAACCCTTATACACACACTCATGCTTTACATGTTGGTAAGTGATTGGGTTCTTGAATGAAGTAGGAGAAATCGAGAAAAACCTCTATTGTGTTGACCAATAATCATTTCAGGAATGTTTGGAGATGGTTGATCAATTACAGGGGAACTTAGAGATAGGTAGAGGCTTCGTGCATAAAATTATATTGTGTGGATTGCCCAGACCAATAAGGTGAAAATTAGGTGAAAGTCTCAAGTTAGGGTTGGTTTTGGAAACTGAATGCCTAGAAAAACAAAGAGGGGCATAAACTAAATTTGTGCAAAAATAACACTTCTTTCCATGCCTTTATGACTCATACAAATAAGCTTGTAAGGATATTTCAAAATCTGATATCCTAAAGCCAACTGGTTTGGGAGTCATCGGCACAAAGCTCGTTACATGGGTCATATAGAAAGCAAGAGGGAAAGAGATGAATAAAAATAAAAAAGGTCATCTGATCGAGCCTTTATAACTCGAGCGAATAAGCCTGCAAAGGTTTAAAACATGGTGCCCTAAAGCCAACCGATTTGGGAGTCATCAACCTGAAGCTCGTTATAAGGGTTATATAGAAAGCAAAAGAGAAGATGACCAAATAATAATAATAATAATAATAATAATAATAATAATAATAATAATAATAATAATAATAAAGAAAAAAAAACACAATAACATGAAGAAAGTCCTTGGACATTTGGTTGATGAAACTACACCTTTAATGTAAGGCTAGTAACTTAGTTTAATCTCAAGGGTCGAAGCAATAAAACTAGGAGAGCCTTTACTTGTTGACATATAAACCTGTAGTAGTGAGATCTATCCAAACTAAGAGAGGGTAAGGATTGGAAGTACTTAAACTTCTAACTTTAGAACACACCTCGAGATAATTGAGTGAAAAGACTAAGTTCGGGAGGTGTGTATCTCTCGAGCGAGGTAAGGATATATCAGATCACTTTGGGTCGGGTTTAATCCATCATGAGCATAATATGTTGGCATGATAACACACACACGCGCGCGTTGAGTATGCATTAAACAGATAAGGTTGATTTTCTTCTTGCACTATTGAAACTGTTCATTGTGTTGATTACTGAATTTCAATCCTGAGACTCGACAAGTTGTCAAGCTATGTTTTGTGTAGAGTTAAATCACTATTTTGTTTGAGGCCAAACAATAGTTCAAGTTTGGGGGTTTGATAAGTGCATTTTTACACACTTATTTGATCCACAAAACATGACTAATTATTGATAAAATTGTTGATTATGACTTAATTCTATGCAATTTCATGTTATAGGGCCATATTGATGCTCAAAAGAAAAGATGCAAAAAAGGGCAAAAACGAAAGAAAAAGGAAAGTTCAGGGACCAAGTTGCAAATAATTCATAGATGAGACGGGCGATGGAATGAAGATTCTAGAGTGTTAGAGGTCAATCGGATGAGAAAAGGATTCAAAGAGGGGTCAAAGTATTATCACGTATCAAATTTCAGACGAAAAAACTATGCTCGAGATTTTTAGTCTCTACTTGAGACTCATTTTTGGCATACTAAACTTCGGAATTTGAGAAAGCCTATTTCTATCAAAATTGTAGATCTTTGAGTTATCTTTCCAATGCACTTTAAATCACTTCAATCAAATATCGAGAAAGAACGTTATGACCAAAATACTGAAATCTGTCTGGCGAAAAAAGTGTTTGAACTATGCGATCGCATAGTTCAAAATCTATGCGGTCACATAGTAGTATTCAGAGACTTCAAGTGGGCATTTTGGCATAACTATGTGGTCTCATAGCTTTGTACTATGCGGTCACATAGACCAAAGTATGGAATCGATCCTACAGTTTCCTATTTTCGATATAACTCTTTTGGAACTTGATTGAGACGTGATATAAAAACCTAGAGCCGTCATATTTCTGGAGGGAATGCATTGAAGGAGAACAAAACACATCTTGGAGACGAATTTGAGGGAGATTAACGAAAGATTTCACGAAGATTATCAAGATTTCACGCGTATATATAATTCGGTGATGTTTTATCTTCAAGAATTCATGTATTCCTTTATGTTTTCCATGCTAGGCTAGAAATTCTTGTACTGGGAGATCGATGAATCTTGTAATGTGATTCTTAATTCATTGTTTCATATTTTTGACATTAAAACACGTTTGATCATTTTGAATGATTTATATGCATTTAATTTCTTCCGCAATTAATGGCCCGTAATTGTGTGAGTTTTGGTGACTTATTTCTTGCATTCGAGAGAATGGAAATAGGTTCAGCAAGGTATAAATCATCGTAAAGTCCAATAGAGGATAGAGATATACCGTTATGCTCTGCGTGAATTATTAAGTGCTTACAAAACTACAAGCATTTTTGTATATTTGCACCCGTCATAAAGATATAGGCTAGTAGTATATAAGAGTAAGTTCAATTTTGCTCGAGAGAGACTGCTAGATAGATTCAGGAGCATTGATTCCTCATAATTTCAACGTGTTGTCAAAATTAATGAACTATGGTTAAATTGAGCATTGCTTGAGGATTCGTAATCCTAGTGCGTTATACATTAATTGAATTCATTAATTTGTATTCCAAACATTCAATTTGCATCTTTAGTATATCTAAGCTTCAATTTGCATTTTAATTCATTCAAGTCATACACATTTGCGTACCTAGTTTAGGTTAAGGATTAGTTAAGCTAAAAAAAAAAAAAAAAATCACTTTTGACATTCTTGTTTCGGTTAAGGTCAAGATAAATAAAATTAAGCTACTCAATCTCTGTGGGACGATATTTGAAACTCTAAATTCCACTTTATTATTTGTTAACGAACCGTACACTTACAGTGAATTAAATCAAAAGAAAATATTTCGTGAACACTCATATGGCGATGACTCAATTTTCATCATGCAATTTCAATCACCGGAGTCCTACATATAAAAGGGTCAAATTAACTCATAACAAAGTTGATTTCTTAAAATAAAAATTTCAAACCTAAATGCTATTAACTATGTTGTCAATCCATTTGTAATCAAAGCATACAACGAAGCTACAACATAATATGTTAAAAATTGATTTAATATTTTCTAATTAAAATATGATTAACAAAATTTCTCCCACCTCGAACAAAATTAAAAGCTACTACTCATCCTATATAAACTGGGAAGGACTTCCCCTTTGGTGTTTCCTCTTACAATTCAAGAAATAGTTATAATCTTTTGAGAGGGTTTGCTCAGTACGTGTTTTTTGAGGTTTGGAGAATGTACTGTGATTGTTATAATTTTTCAGAAAATGCAATCTCCATTTTAAGTATTTTTTGAAGAAGATCTTGAGATGAATCACAACATTGGTTCATATCACTCGAAAATCCTCGGTACAAGCATGAAGAATAGAATAATATTATTTAACACAAGTGATGTTATAACACAAGTCTAGTCTAGTCCAGACGTTTTAAGTGATATATAAAAAATAAGTAAAAGTCATAACCATTCATAGTTTACAAGCCAGATGGAGATTCAAACATTGTATAAGTTACTTCAATACAGAGTGATTTTAAGAGCATTTTGGGGATATATGACTTAACTGTGGCTTCTGAGGAAGTTGAGAATAAGTTCATTCACCTGGGCAGGCAGTTGCTCTTGAACAAAATGAGTTCCTTCTGGAATGAAATTTATCTCCAAGTTTGGCACAAATGTTTTCACTTTTCCGCTCTTTACGTAATCCACCATTTCTGTAAAATTCAAGGCGTAATCTTTCTCTCCTATGATCAGCAGAGCCGGAACTTCAACTTTTGGATCTGGCTTATTAATATCTTCATGAAATGACCTAAAAGAGAGTGAAATCGATATATTAATGTAATAGTGCATCAATGAGATGTTACGGCCTAACAACACGAGCAAACGTAAAGTAAATCAGAAAATAAGCAAATAACAAACAAAAATGTAACCCTCAATGCGAAGATTACTTCCATAACCACTGTAGAATTTTGAATACGTAAGTAATCCTTCACATATGTAGAACTATTAGGGAGATTTGCCTACCTATAAGGAACCTGCAATGCAGTTTGGAATCCCGATTTCTCATACAACATTCCATAGGTCGCGATATCTTCCTCAGTGACCCAAGAGGGTAAAGGAGTGGATGAGTCCACAAGGTCCATGATCTCCTGGTCTTCACGAGCCATTGGTATTTCACTTTTGGAGAACAGGATATAAACATTCCTCACTACAGTTTTGGCATCGAAACGACCAAAATCAGATTCAGCACGCCCGGGCTCCTGTGAGAAGAACACTAACATGAAGTTAGAAGTAGCCAACTCAGGTTATCTAAAAAGGCAAACAAAAAAAAGCAACATTGAACCTTCCATCTCGACACATAGAATCCTTCAGGGAGGGGCCAAGTGAGAAAATGAGGAAGGTAGAATGGAAGTCCTAACGTCATGAACCCCGAGACCCTGTCCTGGTAGAGAACAACAAACATAGAAGCTACCATAGCTCCAAAATCTTTAGCAACCAGAAAAGCCTGCATAATTTAGCACGTGGGCACGCGCGTGGCAGAAAGAGATGGGGAGATAATGTTAGAGATTATGTTTATTCTTGATTCAGTTAAATTAACAGAATCATTATTATGTTTTGTACCAACATCATATCAATTATGTGAGAAACACAAAGGAGCATTTCCTACAAAGGTCATAACAACTCTCAGATTTACTTTCTCTTGCTATAAAGAAATTATCTTGCAAAACTCCAGGTTTAAATGAAAAATATGAGGAACTACCGTCCAAAATGGAATAAAAAGAAGTTGGAACATTCTTTGCCAGATAAATTATTGTTTTTTAACTGACCTGTTCAATTTTAAAAATGCCTAAAACGTTTAGGAGCCCCAAATATTATCTAATTTCTCATCTCACAATTACTGACGCCATTTCATTTAAAACATAGAGAATATGTGTATAGGTAAGAGCCTGTTTGTCTCCCATAATTGAAGAAATTATAGAGTTTTGAATAGTATTTTTTGGAGAATGTATGGTTAAAATTTAAAGAAACTTTATTGGTTTGTGTGTAGAACATTTTATTCTGTGAATGTGTGGTGGAGAATCTTAATGTAGCAAACAATTTATTTGTTAAATGATGACAAACAGGGCTTAATATTATTCTACACTTCTGAACTAACTTAGATATCCTCCCAGAAAACACGAATTATAAGTCCCCTTCACGATCATAATCTTTTCGTACTTTTGTCATTTGCAACTTAAAATGGATCAACAAATATATATAGGGGGATATTAGTAAATACTGGCACCAACAATTAGACCTTGAGTTTCCTTCTTCTATTTTTTTTTTTTTTTTTTTTTTTTTTGGCAATTTTCTAGGAAAATGAGCATGAGAAAACAGAATACCAGTACAATAGTGCTTTTGTACAGTCGTATTACTATCACACTGAGCAGAAAAAGGACCTAATTGTAACATTCACATGTCATCCCGAAAACAGACTTCCATGAAACTAATCAAATCTCTGTAATCCGAGAGGCAGATAATCTTGCTGGTGGTATTTTACTTTAAAACAAGCAATAGATGTGTAGAAAAAAGATAAGGAAAGGTTTCCATTTAGTCAAAAGCAGGAGTGTAAGAAACGGTTGAGTCAGAAAATCTAATTTGGCAATAAAAATACATATGATGGTGATGGAAAAAATGTTTTTAACATTGTAGTGTTAGTAAAAAGGTACTTTGGCGTGAAAATAGTAATAAATAAATAAGACTTTAATTTTGAATGATAAGTGCAATGTATGCACTTACTTAGGTCATATTACTAAACCTTTATGTCGTCAAATTATTAACTTTTACTTAATTTGGGTTAATTTTCTTTCATTTGAATGTTAGTCCCATTTTAACTTTTAAGCAACCAGAAAAGAAAGAATGATCGATTGGCTATTAAATAGAAGTTTGTGGACTAAACCTCACCTAAATAAAAGTTAAAGGATAAAAATCGACGAGAGAATGAAGAAAATGACTACCTTGCATGACATGGAAGAATTGAGGAGTCAGAAGCAAGAATTAATCTAATTGTGCATTTTTGTATTTACTTGGACTTGCAATTGGATTGAAATACAACCAATTTGCTAGTTAAAATATATAAACACACGAGACAAAGGCTGAGACCAAATTGGAAAGAAAAAAGGGATTGAATTTAAAAGGAGTTGGTTTCCTTTTTGGACTCAAAAGGCTGAGGTTATATATATATATATCAATGTTTTAAAAACCCGAAAAAGGGTCAAGGTCAAAGGATCGAACCGGAAGTGAAAAAGTAAAGATAAGTAAATATTTTCAAACACTAAAAAAGATAATATAACAATATAACATTGCTAATTAATGTTAGAATAATTTATATTTTTTATTAATTAAGGAAACATAGAAAAATAATTAATTAACTCAATGGAATAAACTATAAATATTAAATACACATACTAGTGTAATACACAGTAACACAATCAAAGGTAAGAATCCCACATCAGAATTTTGTAACTGAAGCACTAGAAATGATGCCTATAAATAACTAGGCCAACAGAGGCATCATAGTCTTCCTGGGCCTAACAAGTATTTGGTTGGAATTTTTGGGTTTGAGCTTCAAACTATCTTGGAAATCTCAATATTTTCGAAAGGGACTATGCCTTTTCGTTACTTGGGTATTCCTCTTGCATCGGAGAAGCTCAAAGTGAGTTCTTATGCACCGTTTCTTCAAAAAATAGTGGGTTATATTGGAGCTTGGAGTTGTGCATCCTTATCCTATGCCGGCAAGTTGGAACTCATTAGGGCCGTGCTTCAAGGTGTTGAATGTTTTTGGCTTTCTATCTTCCCCATTCCGGCTACAATTATTTCAAGAATTGTTAGCCTTTGTCGGAACTTCCTTTGGGGATCAAAGAAGTCATTGGTTGCATGGAAGAATCTATGCCTTCCTAAAGCGAAAGGGGGCCTTGGATTGAAAGACTTGAAGACTTGGAATTTAGCGTTACTTGCTAAATCCCTTTGGAACATCCACAAGAAGAAGGACACCTTATGGATTAGATGGGTTCATCATGCTTATCTTAACGGCACTTGTATTTGGGAAGTTCGACCTAAAAAGGATCACTCCCCACTTTTCAAGAAATTGCTTGAAATCAGGGATTTTATTTCTGCCAGACATTCTGCCCAGCACGCTGAAATTCCGAGACAGCAACATGAAACGGTGGCTCCTCATTTTCAGACCGATCGGGGGGTTAACGGGGACACGTCCACTGATGGTAGGGCAGTAAATGGACATTTTTTTGGTGCTGAGAGTGCTCTGCACGACCAGATTTCTGGGGCTTCGTTTGACAGGATTTCTGGCCGGGAAACTGTTTTCTTCGGTAGGCAGTTTTTTGAATCTTCAACTCAAAATCTGGGCTGTTCTATGCATGATAAATTCTCAACAAAAATTGCCTATGATTACTTTAGGCATAAAGATACTTTGAAGCCGTGGGGAGGAGAAGTTTGGAAACCGTGCATCACTCCGAAGCATTCTTTCTTGCTTTGGCTAACGGCCCAATCAAAGCTGCTAACTAAAGACAAACTACTCTTCTTGGATATTGATCGGAGGTTTGTTTTTTGTGGACTTTTTGAGGAAACTTGTGACCATCTATTCTTTAAGTGCTCCTTAACTTCCTCATTATGGAGGAGCATTAGGAGATGGCTTGGCATCGCAAGATCTATGTCTACACTTGCCATTGCGCTAAAGTGGATGAAAAAGGAGAATCGTGGAACTTCGTGGCTGACCAAGACGAAGAGAGTGGCTTTTGCTAGCACAGTTTACTACATATGGCTTACGAGGAATAGGAAGATTTTTGAAGACCTCCCGGCCGACTTGGATTCTATTGCTAGAAGGATCAAGACACACGTATACAAAGTCATGTTTACTTTGTATCCGGATGTCTTGATTCTTTTTGAATCCTTGGCCGTGGATCATTGATCTTTTATGTATTTTGCCTTCTTTGTGTCTCCCGGGTATGCCCGGAGTAGTTGTTTTCATTTTGGATTTTGATTTGCCCGGGAATGCCCGGTGTGCTTGTACTTATCATTGACTTTGATTCGCCCGGGTATGCCCGGTGTACTTGTATTTGATTATGGACATTGTCTCGTCCGGGTATGCCCGGTGTATTTGTACATTGTACATTTTTGATCAATATATTCACATTTACCGATCAAAAAAAAAAAAAAAAAAGTATTTGGTTGGAAGTTGAAAAGGTCATAGTTTATATAAAACAATTAAAAACCGGCAGAACCGGATAATCCTGTTTTGTGTAACCGATTAATGGTTAAACCAGTCAAATGAACGGTTTTTTACCGATTTTGAATCAAATGGGTTTTAAGCTACAACGGACCACATTTTGTACCGGTTCATGGGTTTTTCGATTGAAATGGTCGGTCCGTTTCGACCCAGTTTTAATGACATTGATATATATATAGAAGGAGACAACAGACAAAGGAGGGCTGGAAAGATAATTTCGTGAACATCGAACTTTTACAAGAGTTGGTTATTTAATACTAATGGAGAAACCAAAAGTCATCGGTTTATGAAATTCTATTAATTTGGTACATTTGAATATATAAATATTAATATATTTTCATTTTGATGCTCTCTAAAAGAGTGATGCTATTTAGTACAATCAGTGTTAAAACACCAGTTTGAGTGGCGCTAATGTGGCATTGAATGAAATATACAATTAAATGAGTTACTTAAATCTACATTACAATCACTCCACCTAGATTGGTGTTGTAGCATCAATGATGTTAGAAAGCATTATTCTTAAAAAATGAGAGTTATTTGGTCCTTGTATAACATAGGGCTGCGTTCCAGGGTATGCCACAGTAGAATTTTGACTTATGTCATGAACAGAGTGATGCAACCATCCAATGTGTCACCACTACCCACCAGCCACTGGCATGTCATGGCAGATCCTTGGAGGCAAAAAAGATCATGGAAAGCTAAGGAAGCATAATTAGTTCTGATCGTACAAAAATAATCACCAATGAGATCAACCACAGTAGCTGCTAAGCTAGAAGATTCGGATTCGGGCTCAAGCCATGAGAAGGCCGAGCTCCAAAGCGAATCCCCATCCCTCTCCATTTTTGACCTCCAAGTTGCTACACGGGGTGGGATAGGGTCATAAAAAAAGGGTGGCCGTTCACAGCCAAAGACACCCTAAGGGTAGACAACTAGACAAGGATTCTCAGATTCAGCTATACACAAAAGTCAACATGGCATAAGAGCAGTGACCTGAGTCAATAAGGCCAGGCACAATATTCTACATCAAGAAGCGAACACAACATTCGAATGCTAAGGTCAGGTTAATACGACCCAGAATTTCAAGAGATAGGATACAATTCTACCTACGCTATAGAAGTCAAAAAAAAAAAATAAATAAATAAATAAATAAATAAATAAAAAAAACAAACAAACAAAAACTAACAAAACAAAACAAAACAAAACGAAAAAACAAAAACAATATGAGAAAACGAAAAACACTGTCTTCTATATAGAGGGCGTTGGGTGGGAATTAAATTCAGATTTTTTGTAGATTTCCATAGAAGTTTTTGAAATGTGTTGTTAAAAAGTTGTGGGATTCGGACATGATTAATATTGAATGTTTGGCCTTAACTCAAATTAAAATCTAAGCCAAACATGGGCATGATAATCCTCCAATCTATTCACTACCGATATGACTGCTTACTGAACTTCGCAGGATTATGAACAGGAATACATTAAGCTCCTGTTTGGTTTTGTAAAAATCAGATTTCAGTAAATTTTGACAAAAAATTATGAAATGTGTGATTGAAAAGGTGATAAAAGTCGTAGATCCATGAAATCTAGGGTCGAAAATGAGTTTTAAAACATGGGAAGGACGGGCTAAATTGATTGGAGCCAACAAACATATTTTCACTGAAGAGATTCAACTTCAAAAAATCATCAATAAGCATTATTGAGATAAATTTTCATTTTCATGTTCACATCTACACTTTTTATCCACATCGAGAACTTCAACTTCAAGAAACTTGACATCAATGAGGTTTAATCGTGTACCTTGGAGATGCTAAGAGCATCAAAAAGCGCAAGAAGGTCACGAACGAGGTCTAAAAAGGTGGTCTTCTCAGGTTGGGGCGGCGGATCAGATAGCCCATATCCTCTGTAATCCAGTGCAATGGCTCTGAAACCAGCATTTGCCACTGGAATCATCTGGTGGCGCCACGAGTACCATATTTCTGGAAATCCATGTAAGAAAACCACAGCCGGCGATTGCCCACTTCCAATTTCAGCCACGTGAAGTTTTAGCCCGTTCACTTCAACGTATTTGTGCTCTATTAGGTCCATTCCTATTGTTCACAGAGAAAAATGTTGAACTGAAGAGTTCAGAAACTGCACTTTATTTTCTGCTATGTGGTTGCGTTAGATAAACAGGTTACCAGACCAATTTTTAATTTGCTCGAAAACTTGGTAACTCATTTATAACTTGATGCAATGAAGTCACAAAAATTTGATTTACTTGCATAGTTGGATTCAATTTGATACTTTCAAATCTTTTGCCTGTTTTGTAGATGAAAAGTTGATAAAAAAAAATATTAAGTAAAAGTTAATAATTAATTTTAGGCGTCGTTTGTTTTTAATTAATGTAAGAATGAGAATAAAAAATAGAGCAGTTAAGAGCCCCACACAAGAGATAGAAATTCAAATATGGTAGCTTGATATGATGTATAACGATCATATTTTTCATTTTAATGGCTAAATAATGGGAAACAAACAGGGGTTTAATCTCATATTTTATAGGTTCACAATTGTTTAACTACGTATTTAATCATTTTTTTCAAAATTGACTAAAAATTTAATTTTAATCTATATGAAACACGTGTCTAATATGATGACATATGCCCATATCTACATAACACAACAATTCACACCACTCATTAACAAAACAATTTTAGAAAAAAAAGAAAAAAAAGCATTTTTACATAAGTTTTTCATTAATGTAAATGTCAACATATTAGTTAAACTAACAATAGTTGGTAGTGACCAAATTTATAAATGAATGATCTAGCCCTTGTTTGAGCCCCATTTTGGAGGAAAAATGAATTTTGGAATAGTGTATTGATGAAAAATATGCGGTTAAAAATAAAGAAAAGTTTTAGATTTGTATGTAATATTAGTTTATTGAAAAATATGTGGTTAAAATAATGTCAAAATACTGTTTAAAAATGTATTTTTTGAAAAGAAATGAGCTCAAACAGGGGCTTAATTGCACTAAATTGAAGACGGTGACTCATGATGCATTTAACCAAAATGTGATTACTTGGAAAAAGTGTAAATAATGATAGTGGTTTTTACTT